CCCCAAAACCCCAAAACCCCAAAACCCCTTAAAGAATAATAATTATTGGAAAAGTAGTGTTTATGTCAAATAAGAAATCACAATTGTTCGGAGAGGAGGACCAGGTTCAGGGTTCTACAAAACTAGCCACCAAGAGTAACCTCAACGTTAACAAGGCCTTCGCAGATAAATTTGAGAAGCGAGAGACAAAGAAGCTCTTGCAAAAGGGCAAGCAAATGGAGTCTGAAGAAGACAGTAGTGAATATTCGGATGAAGACTCCGAAGGAGTCCTCATCAACGACACTGTTGAACACAAGTTCCTTGAGACTATTGCTAGGATCAGAGCCAATGACCCTCAACTTAAAGAAGCCAAAGAGAATATATTCGAAGACAAAGATTTTGATATAGAAAATATTAAGGAAAAGCCAAAGGAAGAGAAGCCAGTCACATTCAAAAGTATGATGGCTGAGAAAGTCAAGAAGAGATTCGGTAAAAACCTTGAGAAAAACATTGATGAAGTCAGCGACCACGACTCTGAAGCAGAGGATGAAGAAAAGAAGGAGACTGATGTCCAACTCCAAAAGAGACTCAAAGCTGACTTCCTCAAGGCAGCTGACGATGAAGCCGAAGTTTCAGACTCAGATATCCTCATGGTCAAAGAAAAGACCAAGGAGGAGCTTCAAAAAGAAACTGAGGAGATGAAGAAATACGAAGAAATTGAGAAACAAAAGAAAATGGAGCAAAACAAATTCCTTAATAATTTCTGGACCAATAAAGCCAATAAGAAACTTACTGAAGAGGACAAGTTTTTGAGAAGCTACATCCTCGGTGAAAAATGGAAAGAAATCGAAGAAGACATCGACGAGGATGCTGACGAAGAAGACTTTGAAAGAGACAGCGAGATGGAGGAATTTGAAGAAAACTACAACTTCAGGTTCGAAGAACGGGACGGTGACAAGATCAGGACTTACCCAAGAACCATAGAGGACACCTACAGGATCGCCAGGAACAGACGTATGGAGAATAAAATTGCCAAAAAGAAGAGGATGAAGGAATACATTAAGGAGAAGAAGCAGGAGATGGAGCAAATCGCTAATATTAAAAAGCAGGAGATCATGAAGAAAGTCCAGCAAGCCGAAGAGATCGCTGGCAGTCATACTATCAGTAAGAAGCTTAAGAAGGAACTTGAGACTGACTTCAACCCAAAAGCTTACGATAAGATCATGGCCAAGGCCTTTAATGACGATTATTACGAAGAAGATGACCAGAAGGAAAAAGTCTTTGAGAAGACTGTCGTAGATGATTACCCTGAAGTCAACAGGTACGAAGAAAAGCCCCAAGCTGAAGGCGAAGGAGATGAAGAATCTAAGGAAGACAAAGAAGATGATAAAGAGCCAGAAATCACAGAGGAGCAAGCCAAGCTTCTTAAGAAAAAGAGAGAAGTTAAGCAAGCTTTTAAGAAGTTAGAGGAAGAAGGTGATTTTGATATCTGGTACTCTTGTGATGGCTGTATGGATGCAATCAAACCAGGAAAGTTCAGATTTGACTGCAAGATCTGTGATAACTTTACATTCTGTCAGAAATGATTCAAGAACAATCAGAGTCATTCTCACCCATTTAAAAAGAAGAAGGTTCCAGGTAACCTGGCTCCGCCTGAAAACAAGGAGAAACTGTTGTCTGAGGCATACATGTTATGATCATTTTGTAAGGTTTCACTTCTCGATAAAAGTAAGAGGGCTTACTTATGTCAAGACTGTAACTTCTACCTATGTAAGGACTGTAAGAAGGACAACTGTCAGGGCCACAACGTTCAGAAGGAGAAGAAGAGGATCACCGAAGAGGAAGAGACTCAGGAGAAGTCCCAATTCTTGGACGGAATGCTCGAGGATTATTACAACACTGGGTTCGAGGACATCATCGGGAAGGATATATACACTCGGTTTAAATACACTAATGTGAAGAAGAGCAACTTTGGGCTTTCTAATGATGAGATTTTACTGTTGAACGACAAGGAGCTGAATAATCTCGTGTCTTTGAAGAAATACAAGCCTTATAGAAATGATGAGGATAGGATCAATCTTCACAAGGTTAATCATATAAAGAAGAAATTGAGCAAGAGAATTGAAGATGAAAGAAAACAGCTTAAGAAAGTCCTTAAGCAAGACATTAAACTTCAAAAGGAGAAACTTTTGGGTATTAAGACGGATGCTAAAGAGCAGATGAGGCAACTCCGTAGAAACGAGAAGGCTAAGGAGAGGAAACAAGAAAAGAAGGAGATGCATACTGGGGAAGGTGTACAGAAACAGACTGGAGGAAAGAGAAACAGAAAAGATCTCTATGGTATATAAACTTTCTCTGTTTCCAATTTTATTTAATGATTTTGGGGTTTTGGGGTTTTGGGGTTTTGGGGTTTTGGGGTTTTGGGG